ATGTCAGGGCCGTAGCAACCAGGGGGGCTGGGGGGCTGCAGCCCCCCCAATAATTTGCTAATAATCATTCTTTTTTCAAAATCATGCAAACTTTATCATTTAATCTGTGACAAACTGCAAAGAATGAAGATATTACTCATACTCCAGATCGTTCCTCGCGTAGAAATTTTAGCTGAATTTCTGTCGCGCATTTTCAAGAAAATCCCACAAAATCTGCACATTTTTGATGAACTAATGATTTATTTTGTCTTTTGCGTGTTGGGTCTTGCGAAAGAAAACTCTGAAAACTGTGCCATTTCAGACCATCTAGAGACTCCAGATTTTCGAAATTTTCTCAAATGTTCTGCCTTCATTTCCGCGCAACTGCCATTTACGACGAAAATTCCCGCCGCGCATTTATAATACTACAGTCTGGCCCATACTTTCCTGTAAATTTCGACATACTAAAACGCTGTTTTCTGACTATCAGAATTCTGTTAAAACTTCCCCCAAAGTCCAGGAAATGGCATTTTAGAGACTCTAAATTTAAAAATTTCCTCGGGCCTTCGGCCCTCGATTTCAGCCCCCCCCCCCCCAATCGAAAAGAGCTTCCTACGGCCCTGATGTATCAAGCATTCGGGACTGAAATCTGCACCCCGATCATATATTTCGCAAAGTTTCTCATACGTATACCCTGGATTTCCTACGAATTCGCCTGCAGTGAAGGCGCCTTCAAACATGAAAGGGACCAAACTAAGAGGTGGTGAAGTTGAACTGGGAAACAGGGAAAGTACGCGCGTGTAGCTAGGGGATCTGTATATTTTTGAGTTTCTGGGTCTTGATTTTCTGCATTTCTAGACCATTGGGTAATATTTCATCCGATAAACAATTAAACTTTTAAAACTGAAAAACGTTTAAAATTCCCGTTGAAGAATACAAGCTAAAAAAGAAAAATAACTTATCCTTTAAAAAGTTTTGGTCATGCATGGGACTTTTCTTCACTCAGTTATTCTTCCCTTTTTTGCTTGTATTTTTCAACGGTAAGGAATCCATGCCACTGGCCGAGAAGATCAACTTGCATGCCTGTGGTTTACTGGAAGAGCATGTAAGGATGCGTGGGAGATTTGACAACCTCAGTATGTATGCATGAGTGATTTATATCGGTAAATAGTTTTTCTTCCTGGTGTTTATTTTTATTTTATTTATCTAAATTCGTAAATTTCAAGATCATGGTAATGAACACAGAAAATATCTTTAAGTGATTATTATAAGCTTTTTAACTAATTCAACAATTTATATGATTGACGTAACTGTTTATTGCACTTTCCCCGAAAGAAAATACCGCAAAAAATCACAATAGTTCCATTCAGTGAAAGCAACATTAAAAGGATGAAAATTATAAGCTAAAGAGGCATTGGCTGTTCGTCTGTACTTGGAAATACAGAAGTCATTACGTGACTGTGCTGACATCGTTGATATCATTGATGTATCCAAGATAAATTGTAGTCTTCTTCTGAGAATGCATTTAATTAATATTCTTAATTTACTCTACAAACGTGAATCGCACTTCCAAAACACACCAGTCTTATGCTACGGTAGTCGTTAGGTAACAATAGTCAGTGTTCATTAACATTCTCCATTCATTTTAATGTTGCTTAACAATTCTTAACGATTTTTCAGGAATTGCTTATGATCCCACCATGGCAGATGTGTGGAGTTTGGGTGTAATTCTTTATACTATGCTCTGTAGTCGATTACCATTTGATGATTCCAATCTCAAGTTACTGCTTCAGCAAGTTCATCGAAGAGTTGAGTTTTCCAGTAAAATAAAACTGTCTGATTGTGCTAAAAGCCTGATCTACAAAATGTTGAACTGGAATATAGCTGACAGGATAACGATAAAAGGAATCAAAGTTCATCCTTTCCTAGCGGCTGACGAAGGACATTCTTCAAAAACTGAAGATAAAATTGCACAAGAAGAACTTGGATTTAAGCCAGAGAAAAACGCTTCAAAGGAAGAAAAAACACCGTCCGTTGCTGGTACTTCAAAGTAATCAAGGCGGACTATTCTGCATTGCACAAATCTAAAATTCTGGAACACAATATAGTTTATATTTTACGTATAAATCAACAACATTTTTAACACGACTAATTCTTGATTTTTCGGCAAGAAACGTGTGATGCAGAGCTGCCAAAAATCCAATCAGGAAAATGTTTTGCTTTAATATTTGGTTTCACTAATCTGCTATTTGTCTATGCATCATTGCCTTTAAACGTTTCTGGGGTAGTGTGAAATTAGGAGGAGAAGAGTATAAGCACACATCGTAACATTTTATTTCGTGGTCGTTTGGTGTTTAATGCCAAGAAATTAAAGCATGTCGATCTATATATCAACTTGCCAAAAACTGGTCCAGTCAAAACAAGTGCCTAATTGGTAATACAAACATTTACAATATTAATTAAGGACGAGAAGCGTTTAATTTTTCGATTAACAGGAATCCATCAAGAACAGTTTTTAGGCCATGAACTATCCTCTGACAAATTCGTCTACGTCATGGAATATGTGCGTTCTAACTTCGACGTCATCTTAAGTGCCCCAAATTGGGATACCTTTGTTTTGCAGGCTTTTATCGCTTGCATTTCATTATTGGGTCCAGGCCTTGCCGTGCTAGGAAACAAGCCTGATTTATACCCACATTACCCATTTACGTTAAAAGCAGTCGCCCGCGTATTTTTTCAAAAACTAAGCGACCAGGCCTTCGCGAAAAAGTCAAAATGCTTCGCCGCCATTTTGGTTTCAAACGTTTTCGATCCAAAATTTGCGGCGATTCTTCATCCCATATCGAAAACTTTTGATGTGGTTAAAAAGCACATAATGTATTTCTGGCGAACCTCCAAAGAAACCAATGACTTATACCACACATAGAGTTCACATTTTAGATAAATTTATTTTATATTCAGATCGTAATATGCTCATTGCTTGGGAATTAGATTGTCAATTTAGGACGAATTTCAAATATCTAAATTAGTATGTTACATCAAGATTATAGATTTCCTCTTTAACTTTCGATATATATCTTTCGTAATCAAACTCCGGTTGGCGCCGTGTAAAAACCTGTAAACGATGATTTCTTGCTTCAACTACAACAATTTTTCTTCCATCACTGGTCACAGCCACATCACAAGGTGTGTCAAAGAAACCTGCATCTGTTCCAAGACTACCAAACGAATTATTTTCTCCATCTTGTAGACTCAAAACATGAATTTTATGACTTTCACAATCTGCAACAACGGCATTGTTGTCAATGTCAACAGTGAGTCCGCGAGGATTTAATAATTTTCCTTTTCCAATTCCTCTTATTCCAATGGTGTTCTTCACTGTTTCAGTGCGTCCATCAAAGATCTTAATCTGACATGCATCGCTGACTATGATATCACCATTCTTTGCAACACCAACACCAAATGGTGATTTAAGCACGTGGTTTCCTCCAATGAAGCGTTTGAATGTTCCATCTTGTCGGAATTCCTGGATCTGTCTGTTCGCTCTATCAATAAGAAGAATCGTACCATGATTTGTCGTTACCAATCCTGTTATCTGCGGGCGGACGTCGAATTTTGCGTAAATTGGCAGAATATAGCGTAGTAATTCTCCTGTAAATAATGGAAGAAATATAACTAAAAACATTGGTAAGTTTCGAGTTGGAAGTGGCTGGAGGGAATATTTCGTTCTTTTCCGTATAGAGCATGAATCAAAACGAGCATGCAATAGTCTTTATTCTGCCCATAAAACGAGATTGGCCGACATGCTTTCATTATATGCGTAAAAGAGGCAAACAAATTCCATGCACGTTGAACTTTATGGTATCTTTTGTGGTAATTTTGTTTGAACCTAACAGAAACCTTTCCACAGTAAATAATGTGGTTTCAACTAACATCATGGGAATGTACACGTGCTATATATACAAGAAAAGATGCATATGTGAGATTGATATATTGAACCTACCATTGGAAGAATAGGCACGCACCACGTGAGAATCACTAACGAATACATGTTGATCTGAGTTAACTGTAATTGAAGATGGCTGAAAGTTTTTACCAAGATCAATAGGTTTTCGAATAGGATCACCGTTCAGAGACAAGATTTGAACACGTGCGTTCTTCGAGTCCGCGACGTAAATGTCGTCGTTAACATCGACTGCTATACTACAGGGATGCATAAATTGTGGAGGATTTTCGCGGGTCCCGTAACGTCCAATCACAAATGGTTCTGAATGTTCCACCAAACCATCATAGTCAATCGTCTATAAGCAAAGAATATATAGCATTTCATGAAGTTAAATATAAGAAAAAGAGTTTTTACAGCAGAGCGATGCTCAAATCAGTGAACGTTTCACTCATTGTAGCGGTCATCACTGAGTGCATGGTAATGGCTGAAATTTCAAAGTAGCTATACCAAACAGTAACTAATAGGCGTGTATGTCTGTATGAGCTATCCTATAGCATGTGATATTTACTGCAGTTAGATTTTCTATTTAATTCATGACAGTCGGTGTCACCTTGTTTCCCCTCTGTGATGCTGGGGGGGGGAGAAAATCCCAATGTGATTTTGATCAGAAATATTGCAATCAAAACATTCTAGGTTATATCAGACACCATTTCCGCATTCTCAAAATTGCCGCGTTGCTTTTTTATACGATACAGAATAAGTCTGAGAAGAAATATTTATGCTATGATAATATACCTTTTTGAGAATGTTTTTATGGCGATTGGGGCCGGTCCCCCCCCCCCCTCCATCGCCCCCCCCTTGGCTATGATACTTCTTGATGGGGATAACTAAATCTAGCCGAGTAAATAAAGCAAAATGTGTGCGAAACGGGAGCAATTCAAGTACGACTCATTCACTTCTCGGTCTTCTCATGCATCACATGGTCCGATGCACCTTTTCAATTCCGACTATATGTTTGTGGCAGTTTGCATGCATGCCCGTAATATTTACTGTTTTTGTGTATTTTCGTTTGCCAACAGAACCGAATTAGGTTTGCAAAGGATTTTGGCAAAAATTAAGTAATAACTTAGACTCTGTGAAATTATGTTAAAACATTCAACAGTTTGTTACACCTTTCTACCGCGTCTACATGCATATTAACCAGGGGATTTTTGGAATGTCTATTTCCCAAATATCTTGGGAAGTAGCCAGTAGGCATATCCTTTGACGATAGCCTTAAAATCTCATCAGTACGGTCTAGCTCTTTTGTACGTGATTAATTACCTAACTTTCCTTTACCAAAAGCTTATCAGATACGCGAGAAAAGAGACATTGCATGGTTTGTTAGCCTATATCTTCATAAGTCACATATTACCCAAACCATTACTTAAAATGGAGATCGCATGCGTGTTTCTAAAAAATTGTTTACCTTTGCTACTGATGTATTTGAGGGGGTGTTAACCAAATATCCAGTGACTGGTGAAGTAAATGTTAATCTGCTGCCTTGATTCCGGCAATATGGACGAGAGGTCTTGGTCTTATCATGATCTGAATTTTGTTTCAGTTCTGTCAGTGTCTCTTTCAGTTCTTCTGACGATGTTATCTCCTTGAACAGATTTTTCTTCAAATTCCTTAATTTAAGCGTATCCTCTTGTATTGTCTTTTCAATTTCAATCATTTTAATTGTTTGATTCCTAACATCCGTGTGCAAGAGGCGAATCTGTTCGGTAATGCGCTCATCCTTTCGTGATAGTTCACTTTCTAACAGTTCCTTTCCTTTAATTTCCACACGTTTGGATGCTAGTTCATCTCGAATGGTTCGTTTTGGCTTTATCGTGCTGTTAAGTTTTTCAGTTAGACTTTCCTCTTCTCGGTAAAGTTTCCGGATTACATACTTCAAATCCTCTAACTTCTTTCTAACAGATTGCAAGAGTAACTGTTCTGATATTATTCTTAACTTCGACTTCTGCATAGATTCTTCATATTCAATAATCGATTCTTTTTTCCTTTGGATTTCATCTTGCAAACTCACGATGTCTTGCTTGTTATTTTCTTGGTCATCTTTAGAAAGATGTATTTCGTTTTCAATACGTTTAGCTAAGCTATCCAATCTTTTACTTCTGCTATCGTGAAAGATAGATGCTCGGAGACGCCCTTCGTCTAAAATCAGAAAATGAAGCGTTTCATCAGTATTTGTATTATTGCCATGCAGTGACCCACTTGACTAGTTTTAATTCCATTGCTTTCACTGATCCGCAATGTCAATGAAATTAACTTTAAACTTTTACCAACTTCTGGGCGGGTCGAGCCTAGGTTTAGCCGCATTTTACAACGCAGAAATTAGCAGTAGAGCCGGGTATACAGAGAGAAACCATGATAAGCTCGATATAGTGAACAAGTCGACAAGCTCGATATAGCGAACAAGTCAACAGGCTATGTATATAACTGAACATCTAACTTTAAATTCTTAGTAAAACAACCGATTACTGTTGAAATAATTGCGCACTTTTTCCACGTTAAGTTAGTAGACGGTGCCGGGTGCATAATCAGATAAAGTGTATAGTTGATTGTCTAGTTGACGGCATCTGAGACTATAGTGACATTGGAATGTAATAGATGATTTTAAGTATCCCAAACAATTAAGCAATGGTATATAAAATGCTTACTTTACAAACAATCACATACTTACCAGTCCAAATTTTATTTTTATCTTCATAACTGTCTAAATAGCTTAGCGAGTTTGTACATTTTGCCTCTTTAAGGAATTTTCTTAAGAAACTAAGTCGTTTATTTGTTACTAATCCCCTTTTGTGAAGAATCAGCAATAGTTGCGCGCCAGTTTCAACACTGTAATCTAATATATCTTTGTCAACATGGCCACGAAGTAAGACCTTTAGTTTGGACAGTGCCTCTTCAGGAATTTCATTTCCAATGACTGTGAGTAAATCGAGGAAAGTATTGTTTTGTTCGAAATTAGCATGGGAACTCACGTTAGACATTTTTGATTTGTAAGAGTTGCAGATTAGGAAGAGATTATCATGTATTGCTATTTGCAGCTATTCATTTGCAAGTCAAATGTAATCTGTGAAAATCAATTTTGTGATTGGTTGATTATAACAATGAAGCACAATTCTCTAAAGAGCGTATCACAAGATTAAAGCACAAGATCATCCACGTACAAAAGAAAAAACGCTGGGTCGGTAAAATAGGATGTGGTGTACAGCAGTGGTGGACACTAGGGGTGGCGAACTCAGGCGAAGGGTGAAACCACCCTCTTGCCCAATAATTTCTGAAAGCCCTGGAATAAGTGGCACTCGGTCAGGTTTTGACTTTGAGAGGGGGGGGGGAATGTTGAGGGTCTCTACAAACTACATTACTCGCATTCCGAGACGAGTCTCAAGACGCAAAAAACTTTAAAATCTTATATCTGATTTGTCATATAAATGCTTGAAGATTACCTCAAACTGATACAAATACATTTTTTTCAGTCCGCTCCTCGGTAATCCGACGTCCGTACGTGTTGACAAAAACGTATTTGATTCAGCTCGCTAATAAATACGATGCCCGCCCCCCCCCCAATATTTCGCGTGATGGAAGACCCGCCAGAATGCGATGGTTTGACAAATTAGTCAACTCAACTTCCAAACGTCGCGAGTGCCGAACCTAATTCGAAGTGTTTAGCACATGGTAAGGTAGCGCGACGTCGATAAAAAAAAAAATGCAATATTGAGATCGATACTCGCAATAGGCGTACAGGAGGAAACAATTAAGGGGGAGGACAAAAATTTGCCAGACGTTGATGGAAATAGCCCAACCAATACAAAGAATGTTTCGCTTTGCCATGCAGACATCAGTTATGTTATGCATATTGATATTGCTTGCTTGTTCGACTAATTATAATACACGTCGTTTCTTCCCTTTCATCATTTGCCCGATTTAGAGATAGAATTGCCCAATTTTAAGTTGTATCTGCGCATGTCTGGTTTTAAGTTGAATCGAACATTAATCAAATCTGCCTAGTTTTTACATTAAATGCAATTGCCAAATATTCAAGTATAATCTGCCAGACTTAAAATGATTTGGGGCTACAGACCTCTCCCCAAAGCCCTAGCCTGCGTGGCAGGCCCTCAAATTTATGGGGGGCCTGATTTGCAGCGGGCAGGATTTTGGCGGGCTCCGGGGGAGGAATATAAGCTCCCCCGGAGCCCGCCAAAATCCTTCCCGCTGCAAATCAGGCCCCCCATAAATTTGAGGGCCTGCCACGCAGGCTACCAAAGCCCCTGTAATTGGCTCCGAAAAGTGGGGTAGGTTCAATAAATTATTGTAATATTGTATTGCCTGAAGTTATTCAAACGCTTTATCATGTGTCGAATTTAATATATTTGGCCGAGAAACTTAATTAGTCCAATGTTTGAATATACCTTCGAATTTATATGGGTATATTGGTTCCTGCCGGCCAGTTCCGGCAAAAGAAATTTTAAAAGGAAAAAGATGCTCATTTGGCCCTGAGCATGCGCTATAGGGACCTTTCTAAATCTCGTTTCAACATGGCGGCCAGATTAGGTGGAAGAGTTGCTCTATTTATATCTCGAAATTTAACGAATAACTCAGCTGCAGGTCGGCGATTTATGACAAATAAAACAAGTGGATTTTCTAGTAAAACAACAACAGTTCCATTTTTATTCGGAGCTACACTGGGAATTGGCAGTGTTTTAGGTGGTCTTCATATAGTAAAGAAATTTAATGTCGGAAATATAAATTCCGGCGTCTTCACACAATCACTTCATGCTGCTAAAAAGGTAAATCTAGAATAAACTATGAAATTACTAATTTACAAGTAGCAAAAATATGTTTTTATCTTCAATTGGTATACAATATACATGTGTACAAAAAATTGTGTCATTTGTTTTTGTGCACATTGGCCCAGGCTCTGTGGGTATTCATTCACTTTTCATTAAAAAATTACTTTAAATTATAAAGTATAAATTACTTAGTTTCCTTTATGTATTCTATGTGATTTGGGGGTGGTTTTAGTTTAATATAATGATATAAAAAACATCATGACTCATGAGAATGCAATTTAATATATACAGTACACTCTTAATATATTGTAAAATAATATTAAAAAATAAATAATACCTAAACATGCACTGATTCACAATATTGGTGGACTTACTTGTTTACTATGTCAGTTACTTCACTTTTAGGCCATTCTGTTATACCTGCTCAGTTGTGCCTGTAGGGTCGGTACAAAACCTGGACCCCCACTTTTGGACCCCCTTATGGACCCCAAAAGAGGCTGATAAACTGCACCAAACTATAGCCGCGGCGAATATTGGAATAGAGGAAATTAGTCAAATTGTCACCCGTTTCGCACGTTGTAACCAATAATCTATTGGCGTTGTAATGCCACTGTATTTAATAAAGTATTGGGTTGTAACAGATGGCAAAACCACAAACATTAGACAAAAGTTTTAGTTATAAATGTAATTGGCTTAGCTTGGAGGATAGAGGGGAAGTCGGAGGGAATGCGACTCAGTGGTGGCGCCAAGGAGGGGCTAGGGGGGGGGGGGCTAGCGTCATGAGTCATGATGTTTTTTATATCATTATATCAAACTAAAACCACCCCCAAATCACAGAAAGCAATACTCGCTCTAAAAACGTATTTGGCCGTGTGCTCTAAAGTTCGTTGCACAGTTTGTGATGAGGTTTTGTTTCCGGACGTTTTCTACGTCTACGGGAAACATACAAAATCTAAACACAAAGACTTTCACGCGCCTGGTCGTCAGGCAGCCGTAACCATTGAGTTGGAAAGTCTGATACTCGTCAGAGTAAAGTCACTCCCACAAACGTCTACGACCGCATCTACATATTTTTGCATGTTTACAATCCTAATTTTAAACGGTCAATCCGGTTCTTGGCAACAATTAGAGGTCGACCATTTAACTTTTGGGGGGGGGGGAGATTTTGAAAAGCTATGCAAGGCTATTCTGAACAAAAAAATACCTGCACTAACAAACTGGGGGAAAAAATATCCTGCCCCAGTATTTGGTGGGGGAAAAAATGTTGCAAAACAGCATATGGTTGCAGGGATCGATTTGACCAGTCCCAGAAGATCAGCTGGTTTGATTTTCAGGGACTAGTGTAAGGTTAATTTCTTGTTGAAAAACGTACTCCTCAAAATGCTGGAAATAGCTTATCTGAGCTTCAAGAAATCAAACATATTCAGGGGGGCATGCCCCCTCTAGAGGCTCGCACTTTCGGTGCTCGACTCGGTTGTCTCAGAATCCTAGTTATGGCATGATCTGCTGCCCTATGACGTATACTTATTAGTTAAACCATGCATATATATGCTGCAGGTAGCTGCAGTGATACAGACTTGCCGACTGGAACTTCTCCAGGTCCCCCGCCAAATATGTCCCCTCCAGTTACACATTCTTAAAAGAGGCCCTGAACCAAATGTTATACCTCGTACTCCTCATAGCAATATGTATTATTAAAAGCAATCTATAGAAAACTCAACGTTTAACTATATTTAATGAATCTAAATAGTATAAGCCAGTGCTGTAGAACTAAATTTACCAGAGGGGGGGCTCTCTTGACGAGCGTGAAGCCGTGAATCGTAAAAAATACGTGACGTCATATGACGACCAGGGGTGAGCCATACGATGACCAGGGGTAAACCTATAGCCCTTACCGCGGCGGCATTTTTTGATTGGGGGGGGGCTAGCGAACGCCGAAGGCGTGAGCCTTCTGAGACTGGGAGGTCCGGGAAATTTTGAAATCTGAGACTTCTCAGAGCCCCGGAAATGCAATAAAACCTGCTAGTTTCTCTTAAAAACTTCTTGAACGACTCTTAAGCAAGCCATTATATATGGGTAAAATTTATTCGCTCAGTACATTTTCCTTGAATATATTTCTTTCTTCGAAATTTAACGCCTTATTTAAGCGTAATTTAAATTGCATTTTCCATACTTATCGTCCGTACCTTTCTTAGAAATGTTTTTTTCTGTAAAGTGCGAGCCCACTAATACATAACAAAAAAATAATAAATGGAAACAAACACCTGTCCAGCGTACGTACTAATGAAAACTGAACTAATCTACATAATTATGTGCAAGGAATAACTTAACGTATTTTAAAAAGTCTGTGATAGTCCAAACTAATTCAAATAATTCAAAAGTCTGACTAATTCTGCTGGAGTTTTTTAAATGAAAACTAAATATTTTTGTTGAGATTGTAACAGAGATTCTGCTCCGTAAATGAACGAAAGTTACGTTTTCTCTTGTCGTTCTTGGACATGAGTACATTCGGTATTTAGTATCCCCAGATGACTGAATCTCCTCTGTGACATAATAAATTCTCGATTTTCTAAAGTAGAAGGGGGGCTCAGCCCCCCAGAGTTTGAAGAAGGGGGGCTCCGCCCTCAAGCGACCCCCCACTTCTACAGCACTGGTATAAGCTATTGAAAAAAAATGCTGTGAAAGAGAGTAGCAAAAAAAATCGTACATGGTGATGGGATAGAAAAAAAAAACTTGCACATAACGATCTCAGAAAAAAAATTCCCTGCCAGCAGTAAATCACCCACCCCTTCCCTCAAAAGTTAAATGGTCGACCCCTAACGGTTCTTTTGTCCTATGTAAAAATAGAATTGTTTAGCCACGTTTATGATGCACGACAGCCTCTTGAATTTCCATAGCGTTTTTTGAGACACCCTGTATGTACTGTGTTGCAACATGCCTAATTTTGCAATCCAATTGGCAATTCCAGCTTTCAATTTATGCATGCAGGGGGGATGGGAAGTAAGGTATCATATTGCTGATTATGCTGAAAAAATAAAAATGGTGGACGTGTAAAGACGGAGTGATAGCTTATACTTGTAAATATTGAAATATTTCGGTTGTTTCGGCAGTTTTTATTGAAATTTCCCAGTAATGCATAATCAGCAATATGATACCTTACTTCCCGTCACCCCCTGCACACATAAATTAAAAGCTGGAATTGCCTATCGAAAAACCATGCATGCATTCGGTGGATTTGTGACTTAATGTTAAAATTGCAAACCTAGCATACATAAAAAAATAATCAACTATACATACGCTCAGAGGAGGGTGGAAGCTCTTCCCAGCATGCATTGCAACTCATTAATATTCACAATCATGATTTTTCACAATGTTAGGGCCATTCCATTTAATATCCACACCCCCCCTACGGATGAGGTCAGTAAAATTTTATCCCCTAAGAAAAAAAGATCAAAGTGCCGACACAAAACACCCCTCAGAAATTTGTAAATTTTCCCCTTACCCCTCAGAAAAATCGCAGAGATCAAAGGATGCCGACATGCTTAACCCCTCAGAAACGACTTTTTGAGTCAAGTTGGAAAAGTTGTGGATATTTATTTCGATATTTCGCCACGAAAAGTTCGTATTTTTGAAGGTAAGTTTTTATAATTGTTTTAAATATGAGTCAAATTAACGATTTTTGCTTTATTTGGTGTTTTAACAACATTTAGTTATATGTTAATCGCAATTTGTATTGACCTGTTTTCCGGGTCAATGCACAAGTGTCAAAAGTGGCTTTCAAAACCGCTGGGGACAATTGGGTTTATAAATGAGCAAATTAAATAAAAGACACGCCATCGTATTCAGGAAGAGTTGTTCTTTCTATGAGAAGTTTAAAAAATGAATTGTCCCCATCAAACTGACGAGTAATCGCGGTTTGAAAATGGGCCATTTTCGGTATACTATGTCGCCCATCGCGGGAATAATTGACCGCATGGGAATTATGGCGCGAGGAAATTACTGTACGAGTCGTTATTATTTTTGTTTTATTTCGAAGAATGTGCATATATGTCGATCGTTGTTGAGTTTAACTGCTGCATTTAAGTTAAATACACTGTATTTTACCATTATTTTTATAGAATTCGAATATATTTTGTGAAAATGGAATCTGATGGTGGCAATGTTGTTTATATAATTTGTTGAAAGTTGAACTTATGAATTTAATGCTGATTTAGAACTGTTATTGAGCAAACTGTTCCTACATCCTGCTTTGGCAAATGGTATAACATCTAATCCAGTCAAGTTGTGCTCATGATCCATTCAACTGATTCATGCAAGCAATGAAACTATTGAACCAGAATAATAAGAGCAACCTGTTATATAAATTTGCCCATACCAGCCTTTTAATAGATACATATTTTAGTAGACATTTTACATATAAATATTGGTGTATTGGTAACATGAAAATGTTGCAATGAATCTTAAGTATTTACTTTATATATTGTAACTTTGAATAAAGCATTTTATTAACATCAATTATGTATGACCACTGCATTTATATGACCACCAAATATCAGGGGTGGATTTACTGGGGTGTGTGCACCTCCCACCTAGCCCTGGCCCGAGGGTATGCAGGGGGGGGGGGATATTTTCATGATAAAGCAAAAAATATTAGAGACAAAATTTGAGTAATAACATGATAAGTAAACTGTTTGTTAACAACAATTACAATACTGTAGTCAAGCAAGACTTTGCTGTAGTCAAGTAAGTTGATGGGTGGGTGGCGCACATGACTGACACAACTCGGCACCAGAGCTGGCAGAGTACCCTCCCTACCACAACATACTGGATCCATCTTTAGATCAGTGATCCATCTGTGCTAAATATACAACAGTTAAAACAGTGTTAAGAACACATGCACAAGGTGGACTATAAGATAAAGTAGGGATTTGATGACTGCAGTAAACAAACACAGCAAATTGAGTTTCAAAACATTTATTTATTTGAAAAAGGAATGGTAAAATTATATTTAACAATTGTTCACCGAAGGCGAGGTGATTATCGGGGAATAT